GCATGTATGTATGTATGTATGTATGTACGTATGTATGTATGTATGTATGGTATGTAAACATGTAGTGTGTGTATATATATATAGATGTATCATAGTCCTCCGTTCTCCCTCTCCCCCAGTTTCCCAATTCCCGAACACATGTTCCAGGTCCTGCGTTCCTCAATCCTGGTGCCCGCTTCCCGGCTCCTGCTTAACCGGCTGTTCCCGGCTCCGCGGTTCCCAGTTTCCAGTTCCCAGTTCCCGGTTCCCGGTTCCCGTTCACCGGTTCCCGGTTCTTGGTGTTCCCGGTTTCTGGTGTTCCCGGTTCCCGGTTCCTGGTTCCAAGTTCCCGGTTCCTGGTTCCTGGTTATTGGCTTCCAGCTCCTGGTCCCAGTTCCTGGTTCCCCTTGCCCGGTTTCCGGTTCACCGGTTCCCGGTTCCCGGTTCCCGGTTCCTGGTGTTCCGTCCGGGTTCCCGGTTTTTGGTTCCCCGTTTTGGGGTCCCGGTCCCGCTTCTGGGTTCCCGGTCTCTTCCATTATTGTTCCATAGTGGCACGAGAATTTGTTGTGGATGTCTCGAGTATGCTAGTGAGACGCTTGGTGTCACGTGTCCAGGTCGCCCAGGCGGATGTCTAGAATGAGGATGTGTTGAGAACGTCTCGAGCGAATCGCTTGTTTGCACTTTCCCAGGTCGCCCAGGTGGATGTCTACCAGGAAGATGTGTTGAGGCTGTCTCGAGCGAGACGCTTGTTTTCACGTTTTCAGGCTCAGGTCGCCCAGGCGGATGTCTAGCATGAGGAGGTATTGAGAACGTCTCGAGCGAATCGCTTGTTTTCTTTTTCTTCCGCCCTGGCGCGAGAGGGACCCACGTGCACGCTTTTTCCGCTCAGGGCGAGAGGGACCCACGTGCTTTGACGCTTGTTCCGCTCTGGCGCGAAAGGGGCCCACGTGCTTTCACGCTTGTTCCGCTCTGGGTCGCAAGGGACCCTAGTGTTTTCACGCTTGCTCCGCTCTGGGTCGATTAGGGACCCACGTGGTTTCATGTGTCCGAGCCACCTAATTAGGGATGGATCTGTAACATGTGGTCGTCTGGCCCACAAGCTTGGGGTGGTCACAGGAGCCAAAAATGAGATTCAGAAGTAAGTAACGAATCCGCACCAGATGTGTAATTACCTGACCCGTTTCGTCCTGGGACCCTGGGGAGGCCTCCTGCGGCCTCCTGTGGAGGCCTCCTGCGGCGAAAGGGACACATTGTTTTTCACGCTTGTGCCGCTCTGGCGCGAAAGGGACCCACGTGCTTTCACGCTTTTGCTCTGACGCGAAGGGGACCCACGTGTTTTCCCGCTTGTTCTGCTCTGGCGCGAAATGGACCCATGTGTTTTCACAGGTGTCCCGCTCTGGCGCGAACGGGGCCCACGTGTTTTCACGCTTGTTCCGCTCTGGCGCGAACGGGACCCACGTGTTTTCACGCTTGTTCCGCTCTGGCGCGAAAGGGACCCGGGTGGTTTCACGCTTGGTCCGCTTTGGCACGAAAGGGACCCACGTGTTTTCACATTTGTTCCGCTCTGGCGCGAAAGGGGCCACGTGCTTCCACGCTTGTTCCGCTCTGGGTCGCAAGGGACCCTAGTGTTTTCACGCTTGCTCCGCTCTGGGTCGAATAGGGACCCACGTGTTTTCACGCTTGTTCCAAGTCGCCCAGGCGGATCTCTAGTATGAGGATGTGTTGAGGATGTCTCGAGCGAAATTGTGGTTTTCACGTGTCCAGGTCGCCAAGGCGAATCACTAACATGAGAATGTGTTTGGGATGTCTAAAGCGAAACGCTCTTTCTGCAGGATCTGTTGAGGATGTCTCGAGCGAGGGCCTCGCCTGCAGCGAACGCCTCCCTCTGCAGGATGTGTTGATGTTGCCTCTCGCGAAACGCTGGTTTTGCATTGTTTGAGGAGGTGCTGTGCGCGGGCCTTGTCGTCGTCTGGGTGCGTTTCGTTTCGGTTAAGATCCGCCCCCCGATTGGCTCGTCCCACTTCTGAACTGTACCGTATCTCGAGTTCGAGATGGTTGAACGCCCCAGATGCTACCACTGCAGCCAGCGTTGGGCGAACCATGCGCGTAGGTAGCTTGAGCTTAAGACCCAGATCAACTCGGACAGGACTGGGGTGCCAAGGATGGTTTGATCCACACTGCAACAGAGAATAGCACAGTTCAACACAGCATGACGCAGCACAGTGCAGTACAGCACGTATCAATAACAATTTACTCTAAATCGCGGCCTTGGTTATTTGCGAGGGGCCCTGGCACCTCGGAGTGCGGCTCCCTCGTCAGGCGTCGCCATACAGCTTCAGGATGGTGAGCCCGAGCATATTCGTCTTGGTTTGTCTTGCCGTGTCTCTATTCGGGCCGGTTCGGCCTTCGTCTCGGTTCGTATCGTTTCGGTCCGTCACGGTGCAGTGACGTTTTGGTTCGCCAAGCTTCGGTCCGTCCACTCTCGGTGCGTTCCGCGTCGGTTCGGAGTCGCCCCTTTTTGGCTCGTTCCGTTGCGGAACTTTGTCAGATCGCCAGCTCGAGCTGGTCGAGCGCCCTGCGATTCGATTGCGACCAGCTCGAGATATGCGTCCATGCAGCTCGAACTCAAGATCCAGATCAGTTCGGTCAGGATTCTGATGCCAAGAACGGTCTGATCCACAACGCAATAGAGCACAGCACAATTCAATGCGGAATGGCACATTTCAATTCATCACATCACAGCATTGCACAGTACAACACATCCCCTGGCACGGTACGTCACCAGCGTTATTTTGAGCATCGCAATTTTTGGTGTCTCGAAGAGTCTCCAGGTGTCACATTTCTATATCCTTTTCCAGCTTCGTGGGTCGATCATGTTTGGAATATTCGATAGTGAGGGTTGGGGACTCTTGAGGACCTGAGGGCACTCCACTCAGTGCCTTGCGGCACGATGGCGGAGTATCCCATAATGCATTGTACATGGTTTGTTAATCGCATTGCAGCTAACGATCTGAAGCAATTATGGATGGCCGCAAAACCAGAGTCAAGACCATACGTTAACCGACCACGCCTTTTACCCAGACTGCTACATCCGCTTCACACGAGCTCCAGGGAAACTTCTACATGTGTGTTGACTGGACCGCCGTAGTCTAGCTTCGCTTCCTCGCTCTGGTGACTTGGCAATATGAGATGTTGCGGTCGGCACGTTTGGGAATGCTGATGTGCACGTGGCAGCGAAAAGAGCGCGAGATCTGGGATGCAGGGGAATATGAAAAGGAGGTGCTGGGTACGAGGGTGCGCATGACGGCGGCATCTGGCAGCCCGAGTGGTTGTCGGACGCATCCAAGTGATCGCCAAGTCCAGCGGGCGCCCTCTCTATCCAGTTGAAGTTGAAGGGCGGGGATCCTCCTTCTTTCCCTCCTCCTCCTCATCCTCTTCTTCCCATCCTTCATGGGCCAGGAGGATTTCCCTGCGTCCGTGGTTGTCGTTTCCTTTCGTCCAAGTTGGACATCCACGGCTAGAGCACATACGATCGAAGGATTTTCAAGTATTTGTCCATCATGGAGGTTGTTGTATTTATATGCATTTGTACACTTAGTCCGTGTCGTGCAAGCTCGCGGTGCTGACCTACCAAGTGTGTGGTTACAGTGCGGCCCAGCAGACCGAAAGATCGCTGATATCCAGAATGGCCTCCGATATCTTAGCCCAACGCCTGAACGTTGGGAGAGGTTGAGTGACCCCATGGTTGCCGTTGCTCGAGAGCACGCTGATACGGTCGTGGAGATGGTCCGCCCTCGTCTCGGGTCCTGGGGGATGGTCCAGGGTCTTATGGCGAGGATTAGCGACGGGTCCCGTTTTCATGGGCAATCGCGGATTTCCGCCGCCGAAAGAGGCGGCACCAGCCACATTTTGAGGACGGCACCTCCTCCGATCCATGGATTTGGCGACCGCGCGCCAAATCCTTGGATCGCTAATCCATGTTTGCGCCCCCCCGGGATCGTTTCCCAGCTGCAGGCCTCTGACGGAGCCCCAACTCGGCCGCCCGTGGCCCGTGGCTGCCGAACAATTCGCGAAGTGGTCTTCCAATTCTTCACGCCTCGCGTGTTCCCTGCATCTGCATCTGCATCCAGTTCGGCACCCACATGGACGTGTCTCCGCTGTCCGCGCCATTTTGGCCGCGCTGAGCTCCGTGCCGCTCTGTGCATGGCGTTGCTCGCCTCTCTGTTTTTTTGTTTCCTTTAGCTGGTGGCACAGCACAGCCTGCCCCTGCTTGCACGGCGTTCGACCTGCTTCGCGCGCCCGCGTACCAAAAAGCATCCCCTCCAGCACGTTCAGAGATCCTGCCCATGAGAGCTGAAGGGAAAAGGGACGAAGAGACACACCAAAGCTCGGCCGATCCATGGGGAGCAGGGGCGAAGGGAAAAGGAGGAGGATCAGGAGGAGGAGGAGGAGGAGGAGGAGGAGGAGGAGGAGGAGGAAACGGAGGAGGAGGAAACGGAGGAGGAGGAGGAGGAGGAGGAGGAGGAAGAGGAGGAGGAGTCCGTAGCCATTTTGGCTCAAGTCGTGTGTTCCGCCCGTTTTCGCGCTCGCGGGGCCGCTTGGGATGGCACGGGATGCTGCTGCCTCACCCGAGGATCGTGCAGCAGGTGGTGGAGGCCGACGGCGTGGCGCTGCGGGCGCCCGTGCCTCTGCTGATGCTCTCATCGCGAAGCTCCTGGCCGAGGTGGCTCGGCTGCGGGCGCTGCTAGGGCCTGGCGAGCGGGAGACCTTGGACGCCGAGGTCGCTCGCCGCGAGGCACTTGCGCGGCCTGCGCTGCGAGCCAGAGTGGCTGGCCAGGGGGAGCCGCATGAGGAACGGCTGGTACGCAACGCCGCCCTTCATGCACGTCGATGCCCGCCCGCAGGTGCGCCGCTACGGGAGTGGCGCAGTGCGCAGAAGGGCCCCAGACTGCAAGGGGCGTGCAAAGGCAGCGCGGCGGCACCAGCAGCAATTCCGGCCGTGCAAGCGCTCCTGGAAGGGGGGGGGCGGAACCTCCGAGCCTCCGCAGTGCCCCGCTGGAGCGGGCACTTGGCGCATGGACGCGCTAGAGGCCGTGCTAGCCAGGAGTGCAGGCAGGCGGAAACAGCTCAACGCGGCGGCTGCGGAGTTCATTCCGTCGGGAGGGCGCTGGGTGCTGCTTCCCCAGCCTGCTGCGCTCCCCGATGTGGTGCACGTGGGCGTGCGATGCACCTGCGGTGCCGTGGCCTTCACGAGCGTGCAGGAGCCCGCCGCCGAGGGGTGCAGGCTGCCGCGGATGCCGCTGGCCGAGGGCCCTGCGGGGATGGCTGCCCAGGCGTTGGCCGAGGGCGGAGGCACTGTTCGGGCCCCTACGGGGGATGGCTGCCCTGCCGCTGTGGCCGCGGGCGCTTCGCAGGCGGCTGTGCCTGTGGACGGTGCGAGTCACGGTGCCACCCCATCGGGCCTAGTACCTGGGGGCTTCGGAACGTCTCCCATCTGTTCTCCTGTATGTTCGAGCGGCATCAGCGAGAAGATGTGGAGAGCAAGGTCGGAGATTTCCCGCACGTGGTTGGGGCCGCCCCTGTTGGAGGCTCGGCGCCAGGCGATGGTCTTGGAGAGGATTCCATTTCTGTCCTCTCGCTGTGCATTGCTAAATTTTCTGGTGCTGCCTTTGTATGCTCTATTTCACGTTTTCTTTAGACGCTGGGAGTGAACGCTGATTTTAGCGTGTGTCGTATGTGGCTTCCAGGTCTTCGCACATTCAGAGGATTGATTGTGGTTCCCTGGCGCAGCATCTGCGATTTATTCTTCTTGTTTTCGAAGCACGTTGAGATCAGTCATGCATGTGTCTGCATCAGGGCGTGGAGTTGCCAACCGAAGGATCGATGTTTTCTCCTGCAAGGATGGGTGCTTTGAGTGGATTCGCTTTACATGTCGGCCGCGGATTGCTGTTTGTCGCGTAAGACTGTGCATTGCTCGTAAGTGTTGAATGTGGCTTCCTGGCACACCATAGAGTTATTGTATGTGGCTTCCTGGCGCTAGAGCATGTATCACTCGTGCGTGGCAGCAGATTTTCGTTCGCCATTGTCAATTGTGTCCCTCATTGCGTCTTTCCTCCAAGAGTGATTGCATCGATTTTCCACCACCTCCCTCCCCGCCTCAGTATTACAATGCGTCAGCAGGCCTGTCCCGCCACAGTTTGCATTGCGTTTGCGGGGCGGGTGGGGGCTGGGGGGGGGGGGAGGAAGTCAGGTGGGGGATTGCGACCCGGGCGAGGCAGGCCCTGGGCGAGAGCGCCGCGGGCAGCCTCCATCTCCCGTTTTGCCTGGATGTCCGAGGCGGGCAGCAGGCACCGCTTCAGCCTGACCTCCTCCTTCCTCCCCTTCCCTCTGCCAGTCGCAGTTGCTTGCATATGTGGGTGGGCTGGAGGAGAGGGAAGGGGTGGGAGTGGATGACGACGACGGTCGGTTCGGGGCCTGGGGAGGTCCGCCCAGGGAGGTGGTCCAGGAAGGTCCGACCCGATCGACATGTGAGGCCTCTCCGAAGAGGCAGGCCTCTTCCTTTTTGTCTCCTGGCGCTCCACGAGTGGCCTCGAGGCCAGCTGTGCAACCGTGCAACCGAGGAGGAGGAGGAGGAGGAGGAGGAGGAGGAAGAGGAGGAGGAGGAGGAGGAGGAGGAGGAGGAGGAGGAGGAGGAGGAGGGGGCCTCTTGGTGCCCTCGTGGGACGCTCTTGGGGCGCTCTTGTGGCCGTCTTGGGGCCCGCTTGGGACCCTCTTGCGAACCGCGGAGGGGCCTTTTGAGGCTACCTTGGAGGTTATCGATCAAATGATGGAGGGTCCTCAATTTCCGTCCTCCCCCTTGGGACATCAACATCGTCTTTTGGGGAGCTCTTGATCCGATCTTGGGCGTTCTTGGGGCCGTTTTGAGGGCCTCTTGGGCCCCTCTTGGGGCCATTTTGAGGCTTCTAAAGCGCATCGGAAGCGCAAATGCGAGAATGCAATAATCATTGATTGCCCTGAGGTTTCGAAGGATTTGGGCCTCTGGGGGGTCCGGAGGGCGCTCCGAGAGCACTTGGAACCGTCTTGTGACCCTCGTCGAGCCTCTTGGAGGTATGTCGGAAGCTATCTTGAACCATCATTGCTATCATGAGCCGCTTTGAAGGCCATCTTTCAGCCTCTGTGGCCCTTTTGGAGCCATCTTGAGCCATGTTGGGCGCCTTGACCGATCGCGGCCCGTCCCAAAAAACCTTAGGGAGGGGAGGTGAAGACAGAACTCGTTAGCCCACGTAAGCCCAAGGGCTGGTGACCTGTTGATGTTTACGGTATTTTTCTCCAGACAGTGCGTGCACCATGTTTTTTTGGTTGCTGCCTCGTTGCTTCAACAGTTGGCATGATCTTTGGGTTTTCGCCTGGTGGCCTTCCGTGACCGCCTGTGGCCGTCTCGTGGCCGCCTTGTGCGCCGGGATGGGCTTCCGAGTATTCGCCTGGTGGCTGCCCGTGGCTGCCATGCGGCCATTTTGTGTTGCGATGGGCTTCGGGGTTTTTCCCCCGGTGGCCGCCTGTGGCCGCCTCGTGGCCGCTTTCTGTGCTGTAGCAGCCGGTGGCCGATTCGTGGCCGCCTTGTGCTTGTGCGCTGGCTGGGTTCCCCGGATTTCCGCTGTTGTGCAGCTTGCACCGCATGGCTTGCACGACATTGCATGCATCACACAGGCTGTGCCACCTAGCTTGCGCCACATAGCCTGCACCACATAGGTTGCGCCACCTCTATCACTTGGTCCCTCGAAGTTCCGACTTACCCTCATGGCGATGCCTCACTGGCCTAGCGGCTGATCTTCTCATATCGACATTTTTTTTGTTTTTGTTGTTGTTGTTGTTGTTGTTGTTGTTGGTTTGTTCACAAATTTTGTGCACCGTGGTTCATTTCAAATTTCGACAATCTAATAGGCCCATCCGGACCAGGACCCTTTTCCACACACCTTGTTCTCCCCAGTCAAATTCTTCGCGTTTCTTCGCTTCTTGGAGAAGGAGACAAGGTCCCTGGGGCGGCGGCCGTTCTCTGGCGACATGACCCACGCCGCGGCTACCCGCGCGTCGTGGCGGTCGCGGTGGTGGCCCTCCCAGGTTGTGACAACGCGCAGACGGCCGAGGCCTCGGGGTGCAGAGCCGGTCTTGCCCTGCTCCCACACGTTGAAGACGCGCTCCGGGGCGCCAAGGTGGTCGGGGACAACCTTGCCGCCATACGATACGGGGCCGGCACAGGTCGCTATCGGCGGCTCCACCTAGCACAACAGATGGACTTTGCCCTGAGACAGGCCAGCGATTCGGGATGGGCCCTCACCAAGCAGGCAGTGCGACGACGGTTCAACAAAGCGGCTGACCGCCTAGCCACGTTAAGGGTCTTTTGGGCCAGCGCCTTCAATCGCGCCAGTGATCACACGGTCACCGCCTGGGTCGTGTGGGAAAACACTGATCGCCCCACTCCCCCTCTCTTCCCCGCTGCGGGGATTGACCTCCGCGACTTGGACCAGGTCGCCCCGGCGGCGGACGCTCTCGAAAACCTCCCTCCCTCTCATCTCCCCTGACCGCCCCCGATCCGACGCACTAAGGTCAATACAGCTTGCAGCCTTCAGCTGCCTCCCTGGGTTTTAACGGACGCTCCCTGGGTCTCCTCGACACACGATGGGGCCTAGGAACAACCAAGGTCCCACCCGTCGCTGGCCCTCGTGCCTGCCACACTGCGAGGACGGCCCGCCTGTCAGACTGGGCTCTCAGGTCTTCCTTGTTCGGTTCTGTCCCTGGATGCGTTGGGCCTTTTTCAACGGCGGTTGGCGCTACTGGCGCGAGATCTGCCAGGAGCCGGTGGACGACGCGGGGCACATTCTGAGCGACAAACACTACGATATGTCGAAAAAACGCTACGCCGACGGGTGGCCGGACCCAGACACCTTTGTCTCTCCGGGGAACCTGTGGAGCATGTGCGGCGGATCGACCTGGGACGCAGTGCGCCGTGTGCATATCGAGCGGAGGGCCTGGCCAGGCTGGAGACCCGCGCAACCCTTGGTATCCCGTGACGGCGCCCGCTCACTCCCTGGCCTGGTGATTCCGGATGACGCGCTGCATGTGCCCGCCATTTACCTTCTCTGGGACGACGACTGGAATTACTGCAGCCCGGGAGGCACGATAATCAACCCAGACCGCGTGGGGTCGCCCCAGATGGGCATCCGCGAGGCCAGACAGGCAGGCGTCCGAGGGCCTGACGTAGGCGGAGGGGCCAATGCGTTGGCAAAGTCCTCCGTCGGGTCACTGCCCGCCGCTCCTGGGCAACCCACAGCATCCTCAGGCCTTCCTTTGCCTCCGCCCCCGCCGCCCCATCCTCCGACCGCTTGGGGGCCGCCTAGCCAGCAGCGAGTAGTGGGACTGGCAACCGAAGAAGAGGCATTACATCCAGACCCCTCGGATCGGCAGCTGGACGAGTCGCTGGCAGTCCAAGCGGCCGCCGAGGTACGCGGTCTTTACTCCTTGCCCGTGGATTCACCACACGCGCGAGGGGATCTGCCCGATGCCGTCCGGCTCCCCTCACAGTGGCCTTACACTCTCCAGGATCGTGGGCAGACTTTTCGGAAAATCGCCTGGGTAGAAAGCCAAGCGTCAGTCGAGACGGTGGACAACAGGAAAGAGGCCACGCGCGAAGACCTGGCCAGGAAAGGCAACTGTGCTCTCGACGTCCGTGTCACCAAGATCGACGGCAATACGCACCTGGACGACCTGGGCACCTTCAGTTGCGAAACGCCCTGGACCCCCCAGAGGGTAAGGAGCTCTACCTTCTGGAGTGGCCCTCCAGGTAAAGGGTCGCGCCCAGAACCCAGGAGGGAGACAAAGAAGGCAAGGATCTGTACATCTCCGTCACCGGCCCCACAGTGGACAAGATTGCGGACGTCGCGATCTGGTGGCCACCCTCCCTAGGCGGCGCCGTCCACCCAAAAGACGCAAGAGTGCTCGGCCTCAACCGGGGCACCAGGTACCCCTCGGAGAGGTGCATCGCGCAGTGCAACAGCGGGGAGTGGGGGCCATTCCATGGAGATGAAACCAAGGCGGCACGGCCCCCAAGCGATGACGTTCCCTGGTGCTGAGTGGACGAGGCCCCCTCCGACACCCAGTGCT